TACTTTAAAAAGATTCCATGGTAATATTCTCGGTATAGAATGGGATAATTGAGACTGAAAGTGTAATGGGAAAACCGTAGATAGTTCTGACAGTAAGTTTATTAATTCCCTGTAAATATCCCACATAGGGAATCCCAATTCCTGTCTCAACTACCTGTATAATTGCCGGCACATCAATTTTTCCTGACATTTTTTTTTTTGTAAATGACAATGTACAAATATTTTGCTTAATGCTTGTCTGCATTCCGCTGCAACTCCCTGCTGTGCGAGAAATTAAACAATTTAATTATATTCGTATGGAAAAGTTATGATGCTTTCTCTCCGTGTTTCCCATATTTTCCCCTGTAAAGGGTCAACACAGACAACGGCTCCAAAGTGCCAGGCGACAATTGCAATTAATTGCATATTTTAAGCGATTCCAGATTAAAACCGCAGTCAACGCAAACAAAAGCAATAACAGCAACATGAAGCGCTATGGTTAAAAAGAGTAAGTACTCTTTGCAGACCGAATATGCTGATATTCTTGCAGATCGATTGGTTCCCACATAGACATTCGAATTTGGTTGGATGTCATTTGGAATTTCACACAAGTTGATCTCACAAAGGCTATATTTTTGTCCTTTCGTATCATAGCACACATCAAATATTGTGATGCGATTCTGGCAATTTAGTAGGGACGATTTGGCAATCAGCTCGACAAAAATATATTTCTAAATACATACGTATACATACATACGTATGCATACATACGTATATATATATATCGATATGTTTAAAATCAAAATACCTTCTGTAAGCGTATAAAAAACAAAGCGAAGGTTAAAATCACTGAAAGGAAATGCCTTTGCGTCATTCCACATCAAGAGAAAACATTAATTGCTCTTTATGATAAAAATTTATATTTTGTCCATTCATTTTTAAATCATATTGCGACAAAAATAATTATGCACAATGAAAATCTAGAAAATGGACACCGCAGGTCATCAAATAATTATATTAATAGCGAAGACCAATTTAATTTTGAAAAAGGTTCACTCGAAAATTATTTCTTGATGTTGGTAGTAATTAGCATGTTGAATAAGTTCTATAAAACGAATAAAACTGTATGTTAAACCGTATAGATGCTTTCTTTGAAACTATGTGTGCTATTAAACTTCTATGAATACGTTTAAGCTATAAAATATTCCCCTAAAATTCCCACAATGGTCAATCTGTATAAAGCTACCAAATACTTTCCCTTTAGTTTGTTCCAATTTTCACCGCCTGTTTTAAAATCCTATTCAATGTGCCTTTTCCGATGCCTAGGCCCCGAGCGCATCGGCCCAGTCGGTCCGCTTTGACCAGACGCTTGCAGGCGTCCTGTGGTTTTCATTACATTTTCGATTTTGTACATTTTGCAGTCGTCGCCGGTGGTCTCGCCATCAGCTGCCGTCATACTGACACACCTCCGCCCCTTCAGCGCTCCCCTCTAACCGTCGGCTGCAGCTTAAGCGGCTTTTCTCTCTATTTTCGCGTTAGAAAAAGCAGCCCCGGACGGCGGCAATTTAGCTAAAACGGCGAAGCATACGCCTACCTGCGCCCACAAAAACGCACTACACAAATTACTATTTATGTGAGTGCCCCAATAGGCGCACCTTCTCTCTCCACCACTGTACCACACTCCATTTGTGCAGTTAAAATGAGCAAACTGTATGTGATGTTGCAGCCACAAAGAAAACAGAAAAGAGCATTACACTCTGGCTTTACATACTGAAATTTGGGTCACATGGCTCAGTTCTCCATGCTATTTTTTAATACACTTAAAAATACTTAAAATAATTGATCTATAGGTAGTCTACAGGTAGGTCTTAGTTCGGCCGTAGCAATTTTATTGCAGCTCCGAGAGATATACGAATCTGACTGATCAAGCAGGATAATAAGGGGATCCCCTTTACGGGGTGTTTTCCCTAAGGTGAGGTCAAAGCTTCAGCTATTTGAAGCCCCAACCCGTGTCAGGCCCTGTTCTAACCCCAGTTTCAGAACTACTGCCAGTCCAAGGTCCTCTCAGCTACAACTGGAGAAACTTGACATTTAATTTGGCAAGCAGAACTCGTGAAGCGTAACTAACATTTATATTTGTCGCTTGGAGTGAACAAATAAATGTCACACATTGTATAAAAAAACGACTAGTGGTGGACGGTCTCGTTGTGCCGCTTCTATCTAACAGGAGGTCTGAACACCAAACAGGTTAGTTCTTTGCCTTGCCCCACTCCTCCAGCAAGCCTACACACATAACAATTTTCGGGCAGTTCCCTATTGGATTCGCAGTCTGCCTAAATAAAACCTGTGCACTTGCAAAAAATCCCCAATAGCCATCAACTAACCAAATGGACAATGAAAACCAATTGCATTTGATGTACGAGCTTCCAAATAAAGTTTCATTTCCCTTCTCTCACCATCTACAGCGCACTATCCTTGATATCCTTGGCCACAGCAAATAAAAATTCAAATACTTGTCCAGACACTGGAAAAACAAAAGCAGCTAGAAATTAAATGAAATAAATTTGCAGTACAGATTTTTAATCAGTACAAACAAAAACAATGGAAATATAAAAATATAGGAACCAAAGATTACTCATACGCACTGTTACCACGGAACACAGCCCAAACAGCAGCAGAAGAGCAGGGCATTTTCCTACAAAAGGACATGAGTAGGAGGAGCAGCAGCTCTGAAATTCTAAACTGTCCGGAATGTTTGATGCACAAATCCCTCAACTGAAATAGATTTACGTCACTGCCAGCCGACGGCAGGGGCTCGCTAGACGGCTGGTGGGAGGGGGAAGTGCAGTGTGTGGGGAAGGGACTTAGCCAACTGCAATTGCAATTGCGTTTTCGTTTTGCTAGCCATTTTTGGGTGTTTTCTCTAAAACTGCTGCCCGCTCTTGGCTTTGGCAATTTATTTTCAAATATTTTTCAACATGAAAAATATTTATTCATTTCCCCTGCACATCCCTCAGTCCGACATTCTTTTACCCCCTTTATTCCAAAGTGCAGCAGTTGTTCGATTTTTTGTTCATTTTCTGCCCTTCACAGTCAATAGAACAGCGGCGTAAGCTGAAGCAGGACACGGATCCAACTAAGGCACCAGGGAAATCTATTTTATTACAAGATTTTGTCATTGTGTTCGCCAAACCCACCTTATTAGACTCAGCTTTTTCTCGTATTTCTGCATTTTATATTTGCTGTCTACACATTTTGTTTAGACTGTTACCAGGAACTTTTCATCAAAGTTATAAGCCAGCTAGGAAAAAATGAAAAGTTAGAGTCTAGTGGGGCTGATGCGAATGCATCCTGCCACTCAATTGCGGAGCCCACTGATACATCTCGCTTTTGATTTGCCAAAGCCAAAGCCATTAGGAACGACTGCAAAGATATTACAATAGCCTGGCAGGACAACAGCTTCAACAGCTGGACACTAATTCGCACCACACATGGGCACACAGTGAGTCTGGTGAGTGGAGACACACTGTCAGGGACACATGAACACTCGTATAGACATGCAGGTGACCAAAGCTTTTACCTCTGCGTGCGTGGCCTGGTGAGTTGTCACATGTCGCACCCTCACTCTCTGGCTGTCCGTGTCTTTGTACGTCTTCGTCGAATACAGTTGCCTGCCCAATCTATCGAAATGAAATTATGCAGTTTGACTGCAAGTATTTTTGATTAAAGTCATTTCTGCCTCGTCTTCAGATGGGAAGAATGAGAAAAACAGCTTCAGCGTTGGTCTAATAACATACTCTGCATAAACTGGCTTGTTAAATTTCAGAAGCACGCTGCACTGATTTGCCAAATGCCACGCGGATGGGGATCTCCAGCTGCAGAATTTCTGGTAACTCGATTTTTCTATTCCGCCTCATACGCCAAGGGGTCAGTGGACTTGGCACCACATTCGGATTCATTTATTTTCATTATTGTACTTAATTAAGTTCGCTGAAGAGTTGACATTAGTCCAATATATTTGGAATTCTATTAATTTAATTACCCATTTGGCTCTCTCAATTTGTTTGCAATTTTATTTCATTATAAGGCTCGAGCTTAATAAATCCTTTTAATTGTATATTTTTTTTTGTAGAAATTTCCTCCCATTGTGCTTTTGTGAATGATAAATTATGCACTCCCGTCTACAGAGCACAAAAGAAATGAAAGGTAGTCACAGCAAACAACTAAGGAACAGAAACAAAGAATAAGAGAGAAAGCCAAGATATTGCTCGATTTAGCCCGCTGGCATACAAAAGGAAATAAATGCCCGGGTCATCCATAATCCCAGAATGAGAACCAGCAACATCTTCTGCATTTATGGCGCTTCATATTTAAACAACAAACACTTGGAATAGGACGCATCACTTGACTTGATTTCTAATTGTGCTGCTGTGCATTTCAATTGGAGCATAAAAGATGTGTACGGGTGCGGGTCCAGACCCAACGGGCAGAAATCTTTCACAACTGTAGCACAGTTCATCCCCAGCTCTCGTTCAGCTGCTTGTCAGACAGACAGTGACCCAGACCGAGCCACACCCCAGCCCAGACAGTCGTCAGTTGTAGGCCTTTTGAGGCATAAAGATAACTTAAGTTGTTCCCACCGGAGGGACAAAGTTCAGCAGCAACAGCCGCTCTTCGTCTCTAGGGGAGGCACTGGAATTTACCTTTTTATGCCAACACTTGAGGGGTTGACGGAATGAGGAGGAAACCAAAGAGAATGCTTACATAATACAGTGACTCGAGAGAGCGGGCTAAGCAGTGAAGGGCTGACCATGGAGCTGGCTGGCAGATGAGCAGCGGCTCTGCAGCATTCAAGAAATCATGACCTGGCCATAATTTCTATTTGCAGGCAGACAATTAAAAATTCCATTTGTGGCTGCATTGGGCAAATGTCCCTCAAACACAGACCAGGAATTATGTGCGTAGCTAAGGTAGACAGGAATCACAGCTGGCTCTGTACAGGGCTACCCCAAATAAGACAGAACCCCGATGATTGTTGTAATACAAAATTTCATTGAAGTTACATATTCTCTCTCGATCAAACTTTTGTTGTATATAATTTCATCTTTTGGGTTCCCTTTGATTAACGCAAGTCCAAGCTAAATTATGCTTAAATATCCGACCCGCCGAAAGAAGTCTCTGCCGCCCAAGGCCCCTCACATTCCCAAGATCGAGCGTCCCTCGAAAGGAAGAAGCACCAGTCCACTGAGGATGCATTCAGCCCGCACCCAGCCGCAGATTCAGCCGCAGGGCTGGTCGATTCCTGGCCAGAATGTGTCAGACGACCTGAAGCAACGTCTGCTGACGCTCCAAATGCAAGTAAGCGCATGGAAGGCCATCAAAAAATAGAGTCGGGGTCGGGATTTTCTAGTTCTTATACGACAGAATTTTAGTGAAGATCCACAATAAATTTTAGCGTGTCAAAAATTAAACATTTATTGGACATTTTTATCCTAAAAATCACCCACTTCAAACGAAGGATACTTTTCCCGCAACACTTTCCACAGATGGCGAAGAAGAAGAGGGGGAAAACTTTGTTCGGCTCTCAATAAACAACAATTGTGGGTGGGAGGAGTCGTGGGAGGAAATTCTTAGTGCAGTTTCACAGTCGAAAGACCACAACTAGTCGGAAAATTATCTCTGAACGGGTGGCTGTTGACCGGCAGAACGACGACAACTTGTGTCGAGTGCGGTGCCAAAAATAAAATGTTTATCGTGGCCAGTTCTCTCGCTCTCTTGAGTCTTTTTACGGGTACAGTCAATAATTTTATCGTCCAAATGTGAGCCGGGTTCAACTTTATGCCACAGCAATTGAAAGCGAAAGAAGAGAGCACCTTTTGAAAGGCTTTAAAAATGGGAAACAGGAGGTAACATAAGCTCGAGTCATTTATTTATTTATAAATCCAGGGCCAGTGCCATAGCCAGCGCCAGACAGACAGTCGGAGGATTGGAGGAGTTTATTTGGCTATATATTCAAGTGCCACGTCCCATGGCTGACTAATTAATTTTACACCGTTTATCGTTGCGTTTCACGCGCATATAGCTTAAGCCATACAAATCAATCACCAGCGAGGTCTGGCATGGGGAATTGGAGCTCCCTGTACGGAGTACGTACCACGAGGTCGGGTCGGTGGCCAATTAGCAAAGCATACACAATACACATGCTCTTTGCATGGCGCCAGGCCGCCGCCAGGAGTGCGACGGGACAACCACGACAACGTCAGCGTGGTAAGCACTTAAGACAGATGAATGAAGTGGCAAACATGGCGGACAGCTCCAGTGCCACTGTTAGTGCGAGTGCCAGTGCGAGTCCGAGGGCCGAGAGTCCAGCTCAGAGGCGTCGACTGGCCGCCGACATTTACAAATCAGCAGTCATTATTTATAGCGCCCCAACCGAACGGAACAGAACAGAACTGAGCAGGGATTGGGCCCAATCCAGGGAAGGATTTAATTGATTTTACCAAAGTTTCCACATCAGAAGCCTTAAATGTCTAGAGAGTTCGTTCCATATGGAAATTACCAATTGCTCGCATGGGTGTCATCAGCAGTTGGTGGAGGAGTGAGAGCAGTGAGCTGAGAGCTCCAGCCAAAACAGACACTTAATAAGCAGAAAAAGTTACCGGCAAGAAATATTATGCAAAGTTCAGCAGTTAAAAATGAAATGTTGCAAAAAATTTAAATGAAAATTGGATATGATGAAGTCGAAACTTTCAGCCAGAAAAAGAGACAGACTGCGGTTATGACTGGGCGAGAGACTGCGAAAGTGGCTCCAGCTCCAGCTTCTGGTTCTGGTTCCTGGGCCTGGGTTGAAGACTTGCGTTAAGTTTCCTCCTGCTGGGTTTATGGCAGGGAGGCTGCTTAATGGCAGTCCCTGCCCCTTTCTAGCCCCGTCACAGCCAGACAGTCACTCAACATGAATTGAGGCAAGAGGCTAAATCGTTGACTGCTGGAGATCTCCTACTTCTGCTCTCACTCTTAGCCCAAGCCTAACCAGCGTTTACAATCTGTAAAAAAGAAGGCGAAGCCGAGGGAAAAGATAGACAAGTGCAAGAAAAAACGAGGAAAATGCAAGAAGAGCAGGGGGAGATAGAGCGAAAGCAAGTGCAAATAAAATGGCAAAACCAAGGCAATTTTTCAGCTTCATTAAGTAACCGCAAAGTTTGTTTTATGTGCGGTGAGGTTACAGGCCAGAGAAGGAGAGAAAGTCAGAGAAGTGGCGGAGTGGCGGCTACATATGAGGAAAGCAGAGCAGGGAATATAAAAAAATTAAAAGTCTGGCCATTAGACAACGCAAACAAAATATTAAGCATACGTCAAGTGGGGCAGAGAGCAAATGATTAGAGCGAGGAGTTCTCTACTCCTGGAGCTATGCAAATGGAAATACGTTTATCAAGCAAACACATTTGGTCGAGCAGCAAAATACCACATAAATAGAGACATAATATATTGATGGACACACTCACTCTGGCTCCCTGCTCCGGCCAACAATCAACCGGGCAAACAGAGGGATTATCAATGCCAAGAGCTGCATTAAATATACGCCAGAATTATATGCAAAATGGCTGGCTCGAAAGACTCGGAATCCGAATCACTAATAAACTCAAGAGGAGACCGGAAAACACACTCGAATGTTGGAAGGGGCGCTGCCAGTGCCCAAACAGTTTTGGCCAGGGGACATTGACAAATATCCAAAGCGGTAGGAGCAGAGCCACAGCCAGAAGAGACTTGGCCAAAGGAGATTGGCTGCATTTTGTGTTAACTCAGCAACAATTGTGGGAATCGGCATTGGAATTGGTGGCCTGCTCCCACTTTGCAGATGGCTCGCTTTGGTTGGGGCTCTATCTTTGCGTTCGGATTGGGCTTTGGCTTGCCGCCAGGCAGGGAGGAAATTAAAATTTATATGGCATACAAAGCCAGGCAGATGCTGACTGCAGCACCCCGATGGCAGACCACTGATGGAGTCATATTCTGGCGCTTTGCTATTTAGCTGCCTTCTTAGCCGCCGCCTTGGTGCTGGCCGAGATGGTGGTAGAGGCTGCAGGCGGAAAGCGTGGCTGCCATTAAGCTGCCAATCGACCATTTGCCATTTCTCTGCCAAGTTGTTGCCAATGACTTCGAACTGGGTTAAGTGATTTGGCATTCAATCAATGATAGTTGTTTTTTCTTCATGCACAACCTCTTACCACTTCCCTGGCATAATTGTTGCCTTTCCCTGTCGGTACATGCCACATATATACACACATAGTACGCCATGTGGTCTGAATGCATTTGGCTAATCAACAGTTGGACGGAACACAGGGGGAATGGCTATATTATCTGCCACCATATCAGCAGATCTGACTGCCGGCGAGTCCAGGGACTCGGACACAGTGTTTCCCTACTCCATGTGCGTGTACAATTTAAATCAATTATGCGTTTGGGGTCCCAGCCATATCATTTTCCAAACACGGCAAGGGAAGGGACGGGAAGAGTCACAGTAATGAGTGCAGAGCGCCATTTCAGGAAAATTAATGAGCCATGCAATTTATGGCCAGACTCGTTTTCTCTCCCGTACGAAAAAATCCTTCCAAAGCAATATCACTCCCATCGACTGCAGATGCGAATATTCCTGATAAATTTTCGTCGCTGTCTCTGTAAATGCATTTTATCTGGCATTTGATTTGGTACGAAACACCCATATCCATTTTAAAAGAAATCACAGATAAGACAGGCCCAGGACCAGTGCCTGGAGCGCAACAAATAAAGGCTTCCAGCCCAAGCAAAGATAACTGCAAAATTGTGTTAGGTCCTTGACAAAAGTAAATCCAAAAAAAGAAAATTTAAAGCCAGCTGACGAAATTGAGATGGAGAACAGTTGCAGACTTTCTACGGCTTAAAGTTGATGACGCCGCAGTGACCATGGAACACAGAGGGCAGACCTGGCGACTGGCGCCCATATATTTAGGTAGGATATTGATTGATTTATTTCGACTCCTGTGGGTATCCACTGGCTTGAAGCCCCCTTGCAGATTCACAAAATCAATGGTGTGGGCTGCTTCGGGCTGGTGGTTTTTTCGGGCATTTATGAATGGAGCTGGGATCTGCAGAGGCAACTGTAACACTACTGAATATTGGTTGTGAATTACTAGTGTCGGGGAAAGTAATATGACTCAATAAAAAAAAAGTCTTAAGTTGATTTAAACATCTACAAAACCGCAAACATAATAATTCTCTATTCCTTTAAAACCTTTTTCAGTTGGATTATTTGTTTTCCTCCACCTGATTTCTGTAACGTTATTCCCACATCATCAGCAATTGACAGCATATGAGGCACATTTTCGAAATATATTTGATTTGGAATACCAAATACTTTCGAATGCCTTTGAATGGCACAAACATGTGTACATATGTATGCATAGGGGCCTAACCCGAACACTGTGGCCCTGTGGCCCTCTCCACTTGGTTGTGGAGAAGAAGAGCATTTTCTGGCACTAGGCCAAGTCACACACACGCAATCCCATGTCTGGGTAGGAATTTTTTATACAAAATTCCACAGCAGAAGAAGGGAAATTGGGAGACTGGCAGCGAACGCGCGTATAGACGGATGGCGATAGGGAGCAAAGGAATAACTAATAATTTTGTATTGTCTTCGATTGTTTGTTGGCAGCCGAGAAAAACTATGATTTCTCCCTCCTTCCCCGATCTTATCTCCTCGGTTACTGACTGCCGTTATTGACCAAGCTGTACAACGCATTTATCAGCACATTAACGGACTCGAAACGATCTCGGGCCAAATGCACTCCAGGTTGGTGTTTTGTCTGGCTCTCTGTTATCGGTAGACGTTTACGATTTGCAGCTAGCAAATTGATTTGTAAATGGAAATAGCTCCAACACATATATGTACATACATATGTACATATTTGTGTTTTCTTGAGCCCCACTTTATACACCACACCCCATGCCCGACAGTCACGTGTAAAGCGATGATGTAGGGCGGACTTGCACCTGCAACTTTGTAGTCTAACAACTATAGCTCGTCCTCCCACTCGGACCACTTCCCAGCCGTGTTGGCATTTAAAAGTTAGAGCTCAGTGGTGCTAGCTCGAGAGGGTGGGTGGTGGGTGGTGCTGAGTGACTGGCATAAATCACTGGGGGTGCCACGCAGTATGCAACATTATTTTTAGTGCAGCATTGTAAATACCCGCTGCAGCTTTATGGCTCTAAAAACCTGAAAACGATGCCAGGTCTTCGTCTTTTTTCACCACACGCATTTGCCAAAGTTTTGGCTGGGTGAGAGCAGCAGTTCCAGGTAGGTGCTGTCTAGGCAGGTCCCCTCGTCTGTCGTTGACACCACCGCGGGGCCAGGGCCAAGACCAACGAAATCCTCGACTGGGTTTTATTAACCCCCTGTGATCGATTGCCGTGGAAGGAAT